AATCCATGCTTCCTTGTTTACATTTTGAACCTATATTTACATGCAATAAAACAGCTTGGAGAATCAGATTCAGAGTAAGTTCTGTGAGTTTTTTTTAATACTAGGAAAAAAAAATCCATGAATAGCTTGTTGTTCCCAGCCTCTGCAACCTAGTTTTAGCACTGCTTCAAGACAGTTTCACAAGAGGTAGCTCTTTAGGGCTGACAACCTGACACTTGAGAATCAGAGATGATAGGAAAATTGAGCTTTTAAGCTTTCTATTTATTTACCAAACCTCCTGACACCCCCTAGCAATTTTTTTTTGTCAGATGAGTTCTGAAAGTGGTAACCTACTTGGGTCCACTATAGTTAGGCATGGTGGGTTGTATTGAAGATATACAGTCAAGACTTTGAATTTCTTCACACTTGTGAGTTCAAACCAGGTCCATAACATTAGCATTAGGTTTTTTTAAGTTTAATTAATATGTCAGTGCTACATAACTACCTAAGAAACTGGCTCATTTAACAGTGTTCACTGATTTAGTAACCACTTGCTGCTGATCCATCATAACACCAAAGACTAAAGATAAGAGAATTGCTCAGTTTCCAAATCTGCCCTGCTGTGCTGTGCTAGAATCCCAGGATTTCACAACCACCTCATCCAGAAAGGTGATTCTCCATAGTATTAAGAAGTGCATTCCAAATCCTTCTTGCTTTTCTGATATCAGTACCTCCTCAATTATCTCAATCTATATGATGTCATTGGCAGTGTCCAAGGCGATTCTGTTGCTAATTAATCACCACCAGTGACAATGTAATTAGCAGCTTAATTAGGATCATCATCTTCCACTAGTGCTGTAGCATTGGGCTAAGCCAGCTGTGAGGGACTGGCTAAATCTTACAGAACCCTACAGTTCCTGTGGAACCTCCCACTGAGAAGGAAGGCTGTCAAAACTCCCTAATTTTTCTCTCCGAAGGAGTTTCTTGATTAAACATTACCAAGGAAAGCAGCATTTACTGATTAGGCTCTCATTTGCTGTCGCACAGCCAGGGTACAGAGAAAATGCTCATTTCTGACATGTCTACTGGCAAACAAAGGTTGATTACCACATTCTTATGGATTGAAAGAAATCTGAAACATTGTTTGCATTACTAACAAGCTTTAAAAAATTAGGACTGACATCCTGAGTATGACAAAGCACTTCTTGCTGAAAGCAAAAATACATTTCCTTCTGTTGTCCTAATTTTTAAGTGTTGTCTTTTGGAAGATTTTGCCAGATGGTTTCATTATGGGGGTCCCCCCCCTTCTCCACAAATTGGTCTATTGGGAATAAACAGTGACATATTTGTTCTTTATACAGAAATGATCAACGATTTACATCAGGAGGGAATGCTCAGGCATGCCTCCTGCAATAAGTACATTGACCAAGTGAATTTGAAACAAGTTGGGGAAGATCCCACCATATTTAGATGTTGGCCCACTTCTTCCTTCTGTAGCAAAGGAATAGTTTTGATCCCTAGGAGTCATAAACGAATGGGTGTGTTCTAGTGAGGTCCGGCAGGGATTGGTTCTTGGTCCTACACAAAAATATAGCTAAATGTAAATGTATACCTCTAGGAACAAAGAATGTAGGCCATTCTTACAGGATGGGGTGGGGGGAAGCAGTGACTCTATCTTGGGAAGCAGTGACTCTAAAAAAGATTTAGCCATCAGGCCCCTCAATCAGCTGAACATGAGCTCCCAGTGTGATGCTGTGGCCAAAAGGGCTAATGCGATCCTTGGATGCATAAACAGGGGAAGCTCAAGTAGGAGTAGAGAGGTTATTTTACCACTGTATTTGGCATTAACGGTTACTAGTACCACTGTATTTGCTGCTGAATACTATGTCCAGTTGTGGTGTCCACAATTCAAGGGTGTTGCTAAATTGGAGAGATTTCAGAGAAGGGTCATGAGAATGATTAAAGAATTAGAAAACAAGCCTTACAATGATAGACTCAAGGAGCTTAGTCTATTTAGCTTAACAAAGAGAAGGTCAATGGTTGACTTGATTACAGTCTATAAGTACCTATTGTCACAGTTCAGGACAAATTCAACTGTATCTCCCCTCCATGATCCAGCAAGGGCACCAACTTTTAGATTTCCAGCTCACAGGTATCACGTCTCTTGGGTGGAGACCATGTCTGTCTCCCTCCTGACCAGAGTTTTTCTAGGTTGCATGGTTCCCTGCCTGCATTGTGAATTCCCCAGCAAGCCAGACTGCCTAGATAGACCAGCACTGCACTTTGCTTTATCTTCAGAGGCCACACAACCCTTTATAAGCAAACACAGTTATTCTTAATATAAAAGCATTGCAGAGAAAATATTACAAACAACAAAAATACCTACATGCATGCTAATAAGTTTACCAGAGCTCATCCCCAACTCCAATAAGGGCTCTGGCAGGTGTCAGTCCTTCCAACCCTTCCCTAGGAATTGCTCCCCGCCCCCTGGGGAGAAGGTTCTGTCTGTTTGCTGGATCAGGAAGAAGACCCTGCGACAGTGTAAACTCAGGCTATTTATCCAAAAGTCCTTTCTTTGTCTGTTGGTCTCTGGAGAATCCAATTTGACCCAATATACGTGAGCCACTCCAGGTGGTGGTACCTCTCTGCAGGTGTTACAATATGAATACATTGGTCTAACCAGCCCACTCTCCCCCTGTTCTGTTCTTAACTCCTGGAGGACTGTGGTCACCCTCCTTAATGGAATTATAGACACTCCCTGGCCCAAAATGATACATAAACTTAATATAGTAAGATCTCCCAAAGATCCCACAGGAAATTGCCATATCTGTTACACCTACATGGGGAACAGACATTTAATAATCAGCTCTTCAATGTAGCAGACAAAGATAAAACTTGATCCAATGGCTTAAAGTTGAAGTTAGATAAATTCAGAAGTGGAATAAGGCATACTTTTTAAATAGTGACAGTAATTAACCACTGTCAAGGCTCCTTCCCCACTCTGAACTTTAGGGTACAGATGTGGGGGCCTGCAAGAAAACTTCTAAGCTTAACTACCAGCTTAGATCTGGTCCGCTGCCACCACTCCCAATGTGCTAATTCCCTTCCCTGGGTAGCCTTGAGAGACTCTTCACCAATTCCCTGGTGAATACAGATCCAAACCCCTTGGATCTTAAAACAAGGAGAAATTAACCATCCCCCCCTCCTTTCTCCCACCAACTCCTGGTGTATCAAGATCCAACCCCCTTGGATCTAAAAACAAGGAAAAATCAATCAGGTTATTAAAAAGAAGGCTTTTAATTAAAGAAAAAGGTCAACA